GCCTTGTGGAGCGCTGTGCCCGGGAGGGGCCGGGTCAGACAGGCTGAGGTGGCTCAGCCCTCGGATGGGCTTGCCCTCGGACGAGCCAGTCCTGATGTTGCTGCTGGCTGTGCTGCCTGGCACCTGTCACCGTGCGTTCAGGGGCAACTAGCACTCCCCCACCCCCGTCACACCAAGGAGCACTGATCTGACGCTGCCACCACTGGCCAGGCCCAGGGATGTGTGGGTTGGCAAGGGATTTACTCTTCTGTACTCCTCAGTGTAAAGGAGAGGCCATTCCTACTGGCTCTGGAGACGCTGCTGGAGCATGCTGTGCTGGGATGCATATCTACAGCTCTGTGATGCGTGCATGTATGTGTGCCGAAGCATGTGCATGCATGTATACCTGAGGTGGACTGTGCATGAAGTGCCTGTGCAGCATGTGGCTGTGACTATGTTTCCCAGTGCCAGCAAAATGGAACGCTTGCTGTGCTCCAGTGGTAAGGTTCCCACGCTGGGGGTAGCTGATTGGTAAAGGCCACCCAATTGGGTACAGATTTGCTGTCAAAGGGAAGCAGAAACCCAGCTTAGGGTAAACATTGGATTGTGCCACTTGGAGATACCCCTGCCTGTGTGGAGTATTGGGGTGCATTCTTGCAGTTCTGGTGCAACATCTCTTTGCATACTTATACTCTGTGATAGCGTCAGTGCAGCAGTAACTGCTTCTGTGTGCTATTCCATGTGCCGTGCAGACAAAATGACATCCCTGAGTCCCTCCCTATGTGCCTGCCTTCCCTAGGGTTTGATTCCCAAGTAACAGCAGGAAAAGAGATTTTGTAGGTTAAAGCTTCATCAGCTCCAGCTGCTTTTTCCTTTTACCCAAAGTCAGGATCCTCTGGTACATCTGCTGATTGCTGTGGAAGTGACTGATGGCACACACAGGATTGTGATTTCAGGTAGGGAACATGCAGACAGACTTTCTGAATGTATTGCTTCTGTGAGGGTCCCTGGAGGTAAAGAGTATGCGTGCTTGAAGAGGGAGAGCTAGGGGAATAGTAAACGGGGCTCTTAATACAATTTTCTTCATGCAGCCCCAGCAGCTCTTTGTCTTGGTGATGGTTTTGACACTAATGGCACTGTCGTAATTAGTGTGCCTGTTTGGGATGCAAAAGGAGGTATGAATCGGTGCAGAGAGTAAGAGGTTTATATTGTATGCATTTGCCCCTTGTTCTATGTACAGTGCAGCCCTTATCTGTCAATGTGCCTCAGTGCAGCTTCTGAGAAATAGCCCCTGTAATGCAAAACACCCCCCAAATTACCCAGTAGGTCCAGTAACTCATGCTGTACAGTCCACCTGTTGTGAGACGATTTCCAGATGCAAAATCAGAGGCAGCCGCACTATATCAGGTTGTCCACATGTGGGTGAGTGCAAATTCAAACAGATGAGAACCTCCATCTTCACTGGGATCAAGTGTGCACCATGTTCACGGACTCGCTTATTTGCAGATGCTGTTAAAAAAGATCAATGTACTTGATTTGGGGAATATTGGATGCAAAACCCTAGAGGGTTAGACATGTAGAAAGGGCCAGACTAGGATTTGGGGGTGTCATTTTGTCTGCAGGACACACAGGATAGTGTACACAGGGGCAGTTATTGCTGCACTGACACAAGTAACAAGAGATCAATGTACCTGAATGCTCCACATTCCCATATGTAGCATGGTCTTGATCCTGATTACCATTATAAATCACGAGTAATCCTACTCGATCATGGGGAAAACCGACATGAGGAAAAAGTCAGAACCTACCTTCTATTACATGCAGAGCACTTGAAGCAGGAACATGTCTGAGACAGCTATTTTCACAGTTAATGTTGCAGAAATTTGCTACCATTTGGTGAGTTGCACAAGTGTAAATAGCAGTCTCCTGGCCAAGGGTCTCCAGTGCTGGTTTGGCACTTGCATGACTCAGAGGAAGTTCAGCTGTAAACAAAGGCAGTGTGACGAGCAGTTACCATGTTACCATTCACTTTTAGTACAACGGTCAGATAATTCCCTTTGCAAAATGGCTG